AGAAAAACATCCGTATTACGCTTTTGTTTCAATAGCGCTTGTAGCTTTATTTGTCTTGTAAACAACGTGAGACTGTCTCTTTATTTAAAAACAACATATTTGAAAGGAAATGATATGATTTTCGTTTGTAAAGTAAGTGTAGTCTCTAAAAATTAAGTGAATTATATGAATAATAGAAGCACACGATATTTTGATAGTTTTGTTGTTAATTTTAGTTGACTGCACACAATCCTTTGGCGTCTTACGAAATAGGCGAAAATTTAGAGACGAGCTTGAATAAGATGCGAAGGAATGGTCCATGAGCTCGAGTTAACCAGAAAAGCAACAAATACTGAGCAAGGTCACACTACCGGAACGCTACAGTGAAGGAACAAGTAGTTACTGCTTTCCTTTAAGTTCGAAAAAGTCATATTAGAAATATGGTATAATAGAGTATCTAATTTCCCAGACCGCCGGCCATTATGTTTTAAATTTTTATTATACAAACTGTTGCGAAGATTACACTGCCCCTAAACCTAACCTAAATCTTTGCATCGATTTGCCTAGGTTAGGCTGGCATATGTGCGAAAGCGTGTGGCTCTGTCGATATGCAACAAAGATGTAACGGTCAAGAAGTCGGTGGGAGACAGATTAACCCGTCTTCGCCATCGTAAATTAGGTAATTTTAAATTGAAATCAATGTAAGTGCCCTATATACTGTGGTATTTCAAATATTGTTACTAACCATCATATCCGTTAATAATTAATTCATTTTGAATGCAAAATGAATGATCCATTTACGCGAACTTGTGTAGTAGCAATTTGAAGGATCCGATCACTCTATTAAATTTTGTGAGTGTAGCATAAGAGGATTAAAATGCCTAGAAAAATCTGGAGACAGTAAATTAACGATAAAATAATCATTTCAGGAATACTCCAACAGAAATTTTTCTTCTTTACCATTTACATTACAAAAGAAATTAAGACCACTCCCTGAAAAGCATTTTTAAAAATGGGTGTAATAGACACGCTTTAAATGATTGGGCATCAAAAGACAATCCCTCATTGAGCATCCAGACCCAATCTAACCTACTTTTTCTGAGCGTGGGTGCTCAAGCTGCCCCGCGAATTCTGGTCGAAATTCCGCTCAATACGAAACCTGCTCGGGAAGACAACAGCAACCCCTGCCACGCTTTCCGTGAATTTCTGCAATATCAGGGGACTTCATTCAAACCTTAACGCCGTCCACTACCATCTGGAGATGGCATCTGGAGATGGAGATGAATGGCCTTGCTCTTTCTAACCGAGACATAACTGTCCTCTCTGGCTGATACTTCGTATCTCTCCTACCTGGGGTACAAATTACAACACTTCTTTTTGCCCCGGGCTGGAGTTTGCGTGTACGTCAGAGAGGACATCTGTTTCCAACGTCTCGGCAGTCTTGAGGGTACGGAACTGTCCATTCTATGGCTGCGCGTAAACAGCAACGAACTTTCCCGCGTCTACGGGTGCCTCTATAGGTTCCATAGCGGTAATGCCGACACAGACCGACTTCTCGACCACGTCCAAATGACTGCAGACTCCGTGCTAAAACAGCTCCCATCCGCAGACATGGTGCATGGTGATGCTCGGTGATTTTAACGCCCATCACGCTGAATGGCTTGGTTACCGTTTAACCGATCAAGTGGGTAGATCTGTTTAAGACTTTGCCTTGGCATATGGTCTGACACAACTGATTACTTTGCCTACGCGGATTCCAGATGTGGGGGATCATACACATTTCCTGTTGGACCTTCTGCTGACCTCTCATCCGGACGGACAGTCGATGCCCCTCTGGGCTCTTCGCGCCATTCTCTGATCCGGAGCACGGTGCCACTCACGCTCCTATCGCAGTTGCGATCTGTAGCATGCCGCCGTGTTTGACACTATAGATTGGCCGGTTGGAAATCATGGAAGAAAGCTTTGATGCACCCGATCCCTAAATAAGGCGACCGCCCAGATTCGTCGAACTGCAGGCCTATCTCTATCACCTCCTAGATCTCCAAAGTAATGGAAATTATTATTAACTGTCAGCTCATGCGGTACCTTGAGGATCATCGGCTGATTAGTGACCGCCAGTACGGTTTCCATCAAGGTCGCTCAGCTGGTGATCTTCTAGGTTATCAAACTCATAGAAGGGCGGAAGCAGTTGAGTCCAAGAGGGAGGCGTTGGCCGTTAGTTTGGACATAGCGAAGGCCTTCGATCGGGTTTGGCACAAAGCACTTCTTTTGAAGCTGTCTTCCTATGGGCTTCCAGAGAAATTGTGCAATTGGGTCACCAGTTTTCTTGCAGATCGTAGCATCAAGGTCGTAGTAGTCGGTGCATGCTCCGATTACAAGCACATTAACGCTGGTGTTACACAAGGCTACGTGCTATCACCAACGCTGTTTCTTCTGCATATCAATTATATGTTGCAAACCAGTAACATTCATTACGATGCAGACGACAGCACTGGTGGTGCTTTATACACCGGCCGTGCCTATATTTCGCGGGTAAACGTCGCAGAGTATATGATAAAACTTATGTTTGGAGTCGAGACTTTGTTGAACAAAGTCTCAGACTAACGACGATTAAATATAGTCCACTTCAATCCCCAGAAGACAAAAGTTTGGGCGTTTACTGCTATAAAGAACCAATTCGTCGAATCTCCTTAGTTTTAAGGCACTCCCCTTGTTGCCTCGTAATCCTCAGTTTTGACATATCGAGTGACGTGCAGTTTCGTGGTCACTTGGAAGAGAAGGCCAAATCGGCATCTAAAAACTTGGCGTGCTCAGCAGAGTGGGACAGTATTTCATATCGACGCACCGCTTGCAACTTTACAAGGCGCAGGTTCGGCCTCAAATGAAATACTGTTCCCATCTCTGGGCAGGGGCTCCTCAGTGCCAGCTCCTTCCACTTGACCGCATCCAGCGCAGAGCGGTTTGAATCGTCGACGACGGAAATATTTCTGATCTACTTGACTCACTGGCACTGCGTAGTTGCATCTCTTTGTGTATTTTATCGCATCTATTACAGTGCTCTGCGGAATTGTTCGGAGTAATTCCAGCCGCTTTATTTCACCTTCGCTTATCGCGACAAAACTCGCGATATCATCTTTAGCATCTGGATGATTGGCGATACACCACTGTGCGATTTAGAAGAAATTTTCTTCCTCGCACAACTTCATTGTGGAATCGATTCGGACCACCAGCGAATTTTCTGGACCGATACGACTGAGGAACCCTCCAGGAAAAGAGCCTACTCCTTTTTAAAAGGCCGGCAACGCATCTGCAATTCCCTTAGTATTGCAGTTGTTTATAGGCGGCGGTACTCACTTACCATCAGTTGAGCCGCATGCTCGTTTGCCCCCTCTCCTATAAAGAAAATACTTAAGAGTACATAGATACATACATGTGTTAGAATAATTACCAAATTATAAATACTCAAATATCCATAAAATGTTATCCATTAATGAGTTATTGCAATTTTACAAGGAATTCACTATCTATGTACTCCTTAAATGTACTGATTAAACTATTTAAAAAAAAAAGAGTCGGCGCATCTAATTCATATTATCAACGTTGACACAATCATGGAGCAACTCTAATCTATATAAATTAGCTGCTATTTTACGTTAAGTTATTTTAAGTTAAGCCGACCCATTCGTGCTACACCCATAATATAGCTGCAACATGGCCTAACACGTAGAAAAAATTTAAACATAACTAATTAAAAAAGTGTGTATGACGTAATATAACTTATTAACATGATATACCTCCAACATTTGATTAACAGTATGTAATATGTTGACATAATTACGTTTGTCATTAGTTGGAATCACTGAAATAATACACATATAGTAACAACATTAGATTACAGCGGTGCTTGACATAACATGATGATTGATTAGAGTAGTGTGATAACAATAGAAATGTAAAGCCGAAGTTATTATAATTATTTCGTATTTAATTCAAAATATATTACTATTCAAACTAAAGCTTAGTGTGAAATTTTTTGAGCTATAAGCACAAAACCTCAGTAGTACATTTCACACTGCGTGAGCAACCTCAGTTCTATCCCTGCAGGCACCAATGAAATCGTTGCATTTTTAAAAATTAATTTATCATATGCTCGTCGATGAAAGAAAACATCCTGACAAACTTGAATGATTGACTAATTGCTATACAAATCTCTCAGGAATAAGAAGAGGCCTTTGCGCTGTACTCCAACGTACATAGGCTGTCATAAATATACTTATCGCATTATATATATATATATATATATATATATATATATACATATACATACTCGCAATTTTCCGTGTAGTGGCGGTCAAGAATATCCACTACCCCATATCCTCCCGTGGGTGTCGTAAAAGGTGACAAAGGGAAACAGCCAGAAGATGGGCAGCAGCATCTTCCTGATAATAGCCAAAATGAAAATAAATAATAATAATATAATAATAATAATATTCCACAACTATCACACAACGCCATCTAGTCCCAAGCTAAGCAGAGCTTGTGTTATGGGTACTAGACAACTGATAAACATACTTATATATTTCTAAATACATAAATATTATAGATAAATTACACCCAGACACAGAACAAATGATCGTGTTCATCACATAAACATTTGTCCTGGGTGGGAATCGAACCCACGACCTCCGGCATAGCAGTCAGGGTCACTAACCACTAGACCAACCCGCTTGCCAAGCGTGGCAACTATGGTAATATACCCCCACGAGAGTAACAAAGAGACGGCCCCCAGTCCCCGGCGGCCTCGCTATTCCTGGCTACGGTGGCGACCATGGTAACGGCGGGGCAGGGGGTGCTAAGAATCTCCTGTGGAGGTTCGGTTGCCACTTTAGACGACTCGACCTGGCAACGTACAACGCACGTACCTTGAGGACTGACGAGAAGATCGTGGAGCTGGAAGATGAGATAGACAAGTTGCGCTGGCATATTATAGGATTATCCGAAGTCCGAAGAGAAGGGAGGACATGGTAATCCTCGAATCCGGCAACTTGCTCTGTCACCGGGAGGGCGACCATCTGTCCCAAGGAGGTGTCGGATTAATCGTCCACAAGTCTCTCGTTAACAACGTTGTAAAGATCGGGAGTGTGTCGACGAGGGTTGCGTATCTTATACTCAGAATCACCAAACGGTATTCGCTGAAGGTCATACAGGTTTACGCACCAACCTCGGCACACCCCGATGAGGATGTGGAGGCAATGTATGAGGATATCTCTAGAGCTATGCATTCCTCCAAAACCCAATATACGGTGTTAATGGGAGACTTCAATGCAAAACTAGGCACAAGAGAGAACAGTGAGCTGAAAGTAGGGAAATTTGGAATAGGGCAACGGAACCCAAGGGGCCAGCAGCTGGCCGACTTCATGGAGAAAGAGGGACTCTTTATGATGAACTCTTTCTTCCAGAAGCGGCCCTACAGGAAGTGGACCTGGTGGAGCCCAGAAGGTTCGACAAAAAATGAGATTGACTTCGTTATGACGACCAGACTACAACTGTTCAGTGATGTCTCCGTGATCGCGATGGTGAAAACTGGTAGCAATCACCGAATGGTTAGAGGCACACTGAACCTAAACGTTAAGTTGGAGAGGTCTCGTCAAATGAAGTCAACGCTCCGTCTCCCTCTTGCTCTATTCCAAAGTCCCGAAACCTTTCAGCTCGAGTTACAAAACCGTTTTCAGTGCCTAGAAGACTGCAGTGGACGATATGAATGGCAAGCTCGTGGAAACTGTCCATGCGGTCGGAGTTAAGTTATGCAAGACCCGCCGCAGAAGAACACAAAAACTCTCCGATCACACTCTTAATCTCATGGCTGTTAGACGGGAGATGAAGCTACATTCTTCAACAGATTTGACAGCATACAGGCAACTGAACAGACAGATCTCCAAATGCATGCGGCGGCACTTACGCAACTTCAATACAGCTTGTATTGAAGAAGCGATCGAGCGGAACCAAGGCTCCAAAGTCTTTGCCAGAGATCTGTCTGCCAGAAAGAGCCAACTGTCAAAGCTGAAGACCGAATGTGGCAGCATCGTTTCCGGGACACCTGAGATTTTGAGTGAGATTGAGAGGTTCTATGGGCAGCTGTACACGTCATCGTTGTAAACACACGCAAGTGAGAGTAACGATCCAAGATCGAGTCTTATCCGACATTATTCTGAAGATATCCCGGACGTCAGTCTGAGCGAGATTAGAATGGCTCTCCAGCACCTTAAAAATGACAAGGCCCCAGGCGAGGATGGAATAACAGCGGAGTTTCAGAAAGCGGGTTGAAGATCGGTACTTGAAGTCCTTCAGAAGCTCTTTAATGCCGTCCTCCATGGTGGCATTACACCGAAGGCGTGGAACAGAAGTGCGGTGATCTTGTTCTTCAAGAAAGGTGACAACGCTCTCTTGAAGAACTACAGACCGATTTCCCTTCTGAGCCGCGTCTACGTGTTGTTTTCAAGAGTCATTACGAATCGTCTTGCGCGCAGACTTGATGACTTCCAGCCTCCCGCACAAGCCGGTTTCCGAAAGGGCTTTAGCACCATAGACCACATACATACCCTTCGGCAAATTGTACAGAAGTCCGAAGAGTACAATTTGCCACTATGTCTGGCGTATGTGGACTATGAGAAAGCCTTTGGCTCCGTCGAAAGTTGGGCGGTCCTGCAGTCCCTTCAGCGGTGCCAAGTTGACTGTCGGTATATCGAAGTGCTGAAGTGTTTGTAGAAGTCGATGGATGCAGGTGGCTCAGGACAGTGCTTTGTGGCATTCCTTGGGGGAGGCCTATGTTCAGCAGTGGACTTATGAAAGGCTGTAATGATGAATGATGATTATATACTCGCAGGATATAATCTTAAACGTGGAGGATTTACATACTTAAATTAGACATTAATAGACTTCTAGACCAGGAACAATTATTTGAAAGCTCCACAAATACTGTGCTAGTGCTAGTGCTATGTATAAATACATCGCTACGGGGCTGGCCATTTTAATATGTACCAAGATATTTCGTTAAGTCGACTTTCACCACACCCACATACTGAGATAGATGTAATCGTATCTCGCCGTCACAAGATATACAATTTGAAATAATCTTAAGCCCAAACTGATTAACTTTATAAAATTTTCATTAAATAGCCCTATGAGAAATTAAAAAAAACTATATTATGATGGTCTTTATAAGAAATCTGTTATATTCAAATTAAATCATTTGAATATAACAGAATATAAAGAAACTCCATCCGCGGCTGGTCGTTGCTGCTGGTGATAAGAGGGCTGGTTCTTTCCTCGCTCAAAGGCTAAGTATAGCCGCCATTCAGCGGGGAAACGCAGCCAGCGTTCTTGGCACGATACCGTGGGGAGTAGGACTATATGATAATTAAGTTTCTAGTTTTAGTTTTTTTTATTATCATAGTTTTTAATATTCTAGATAAAGTTAAGTATTATGTAGAATTCAATTCTAGTTTACAAATTTTAATAAAATTTGCATATACTCATCAAACTGTTTGATTCGTTTTTTTTTTATAGAAATTACTGTTATATTTAAATTATTTTATTTAAATATACTCATCAAACTATTTACTTCGTTTTTAATAATGCGTACAGCAAAAGAGTGCATCAAACTGACGCAGTCTGTTTATTTATCCGATTTAAATCTGGATAAGTTCAAAGCAATAAGACTGTGCGATTAACCATCTAGGGCATCATCACCGCTTACCACAAGGTGGGATTCTAGTCAAGTGCTGGCTCATAGTACGCAAATAATCATTGTTATATTTTGGATTTCACTTCAACTAATACAAAAATGTGACTTTTTAAAGTAACTGTAAAAGAAAGCTTTTTATAACTGAAGCCCTTTATCTTAGCCTTGAATCTTCGAGAATGTTGCGATCACGTCTCTTAGGAGCTGTATTAATCAATCTTCAGATTCATTTATTTTCTCAGTCGAGGGGCTCATATTTCTTACGAAAAAGATAACATTGTAATACTTCATGTTTTCAAATTGGATTTCATATATCATGAAATATGATATTATACAGGATTTTACACGATTTTAATAATTTTGTGTACCTACTACGATGTTACTTGCGTAGGCACTTTAGTGGCCTCACATCTCAGCAAATCTCTTTTGGGGTTGGGTTACATTTGGGACGGCTGAATTGTGGAAATAGGTGTCTAGGAGAGATTAATGTAGGTTTTCATCTTTTTTTTAAGAGACTCTCGGTACTTGGGTGGTAAGATGTGGGTGTAGGTGGTCTACGAGTTTCTAAAGAAACTACTATTCTGCAAATACTAATTATTGCTGCTTGTATCAAAAATTGTGGTTCCTTCTTATTTAAGGGCTTAGTATTGCCATTCAGGGAAGACACGCAGACGTTACTAGTCACTACGGAGAATAGAACTATAATATGATCAGAATTAAGTTTTATTTTTCACTGTTATGAATATTGTAAACATTATATAATGTAAGTTATAAAATTATTGTGAAGTGGCATTTTAAGAATATCCACTACCCCATATCATGCCGTAGGAGTAGTAAGAGGTGACAGTACGAAACAAATCAGCGTCTTCCTAATAACGACTAAATATAAAAAACTGCCATTGCCTGTTGAGCCTGGAAACTATGGCAAATATCCCCAATCTATAGAGGATGCCTATGTTCAGCAATGGGCTTTAATATGCTATAAGAGTATCATCACAAATGAAACATTTAATAAATATTGTCATGACCAATAATTATTATTCCATATGCAACTGTACAGTGCAGCACATACGTAGGTAATATAACAATTTGATTAGTGTTTAATTAGTGATCATTAAAACACTTCAATAGTTACTTTCGATTCTTCCAAAATAGAGTCATCAGTATCGTTAAAATTTTTTTTTGTTAAAATAAACATGATACAAAAATGATTTAAATGATAGTTATTTGCAAATATTCCATTAGGATGCTGTTTAATATAAAACTAACAAAATAAATATTGATAATTTAGAGTGTTAGTATTTATAAATACGTTGTTCCTTCATTAACTCCACAAAGGGGTGTGTGGGCATACATTTAGAAAGCGCCTAATCAATGAACACACAATGTATCGAATAATTAGAGGCGAACATTATGTTCTATTAATAACGCCTAACAATTAGTTTTTGGATTAATTTCGTCATACATTCATGTTGTAAAAATTTCCTCTATTTGAAAGGCCACACACACCGATTATGTAAGTCCAACTTTGACAGAGAGGTCAATTGACAGGCTGAACTCGGCTGGTCAGCGTTCGGGAAATTGCGACACATCTTCTTGTCAGCTATACCTCAAAACTTAAAAACGAGATTGCACAACCAGTGCGTGTTGCCAGTAATGACTTATGGATTTGAGACGCGGTCCTTCACTGCAGGCCGCATGAAGAAGCTCAAGGTCGCTGAGCGAGCTATGGAGAGGGCTATCCTCTGTGTTTCTCTGCGTAATAAAAATTAGAAATGAGGATATCCGCAGTAGAACTAAAGTGACATAGGCCAACGGATTAGTAAATGAAGTGGCAATGGGCCGGCCATATTGCCAAAAGAACCGATAACCGATGAGAAAATTTTTTTAGACTAGGTTGATCACGGCTTCCAGGTGGAACGGAGACTAGCCATCTTCACAGGACAGAATTATAGTGAACAAATGAGTGCCCAGCACAGGTGCATTGTCAATTCCTTCACTTTCATAATCTGATAGGTCGACAGTCCGACACGGGAGAGAGGTTAGGCCACTATATAACACTTCGTACTAAGCCGCTTTTGAGAATTTCTAAATGTTGGCCTGGCCTCCGATTCTAAACCGGGACCACATGGTCAGAAGTTGCGCTTTCGATCACCAGACCAATGAAGGAGTCGAACCACACTATTGCAGTACCGAGAGATTTATAAATAAATAATATCCTTCAGACCAAATTTCTGTCATGGTAGCCATTCTTAATGGAGGTTAACCATCTGCGCAGGGCAGGATTATAGTGCCCGAGTTAATGCGCAAGCACAGGTGCACTCTCTATTCCTTACTCTTATAGTCCGATGGGACAGCAAGCCGACACAAAAGTAGAGAGATCCGGCGCAACACCAACTTGGTTGGCTTTACGTGCTTTCCGAGGCACATGGGTAAAACACCGCCAACTTTTTGACTCCGGGCTGCTACTGAGCATTTATTCACATAAAAATTCAATAACTGATTTTCGCTCGACCCGGGATTCCAACTCGGGACCTCATGATTGACACTCGTGTTTACGAGTACTAGACCAATGAAGCAGTCATATATAAATAAATAATACCTTTGTATTAAGATAATGAGATTTCGTTAAAAATATTAGTAGGAATTGGTTTTGCTACTGGCAATGCCTTTTAAGTATAGCTACACCTTACGTAGAAATCGTTCCAGCTACGTCTCAGAGGAGCAATTTTAATCAATCTCCGTCCCGATTCGTTTTAACCGTCTAGACGCTAATATTTCTTATGAAAGAAAAAACTACACTTGGTTTTATTTTTTATAGTGTATTCATAAAATAAATTCATCATGTGGCAGAGTCTATACAGATTAACCATCACCTCATTCCGTTCCGTGAAATTTATTAGAGGTGACTGTGCGATAATGCCAGAAAACGCTTTCGATAAATGTCTGTATAATCATCCTATTCACGTCAGCCGCAAGCTACCCGGACGAGAAACTGCTGGTTCGGGAAGACGTCTGGTACTGCCATCACCAATCTGTCTGCCAACCGTGAAATTTATA